AGGGATCCTGCTGTCAAGTGGTGGCATGACCAGGAATGCTCTCCAGCTGTTACTGGACGCTCGGTTTTCCCCTTGGGAAAGGAGTATTCATTCCTCAAGGCAGGCTGGTTGCAGAGGCCGAAGTGTAGCTCAGTGTTTAAAAGCTTCCAAATATTCTTTGGGCATTTGCCTTTCAATAAAATAAAAGGCAGGAGGTGCCTCCTCAGCTCCCAGGGCTCAGGGATGGAGGAAGCTGAGGTTGTCCTCCTGAAGCAGGTGGGTGCTGCTCTGTCCTTTGGGTGCCTCAGCTCAGCTGCCCTGGATCAAAACAGGTGTCTTCCCAGAGGCAGAGGGGTCCAAAATCAAACATGGTTTGTGGCATTTGTGGGAAGCCAGCAGAGGAATGACTTGGGCAGGAGTTCCTGGCTGCCAGAGCCATGCTGGGATCCTGCCCCTCCATGTTCATCCTGATCTTGGCATGCCGGGTGGTGCACAAGGATAGTGCCAGTCCCTGTCGCTGGCCAGATCCTCGCTGTAGGACCATGACAGGAGAGCTGTGTCTGGGGCTGGAGCAGGATGGCGTTGGGGTGTTCACAAGGAGCAGGTTCAGGTCTTGCAGGTTCTGTTACCTCTTTGTCAGCCATCCTGGTGCTTCACCCTGGGCACTGTGCCCCAGCCAGCACATCCAAAGTGCTTGTTGCTTCCCCTGCCAGGCAGCAGCTGTGGGCAGGCACCAACCGTGCTCCTCATGGGCCTTGCCTAAAGGCAGCCCTGGGCAGCACCCGCTGTCTGCAGCCCCCTGTGGTCCCCCCTGCCCATCTGCTGTCTCCTTGCCAGGGCACAAGGCAGGAGGAAGCTGGTGGCAGCAGGGGTGTGACTGGAGCGTGGCTGGTGGCTCCTATGCCTGTAGCCCAGTGCCTCTGTCAGCAACCTGCAAACCAGGAGCGAGGCCAGCACCTTCTTTACAGCAGGGCCTCATGGCAGCTCCTCTGTGGTGCTTGGGAGTGGGCGGGGAGATGAAGAAAACTCAGACACTAACCAGGCAGCCAAGGCAGTGACCAGCATCCTGGCCTGTATCAGCACCAGTGTGGCAGCAGGACCAGGGCAGTGATTGTCCCCCTGCGCTGGGCACTGGTGAGGCTGCACCTCAAATCCCGTGTTCAGCTCTGGGCCCCTCACAACAGAGATATTGAGGTGCTGGAGCGGGGCCAGAGAAGGGAATGGAGCTGGTGCAGGGCCTGGAGCACAAGTGTGATGGGGAAGGGCTGAGGGACCTGGGGGGTTTAGTGTGGAGAAGAGAAGGCTCAGGGGGGACCGGGTTGCTCGCTGCAACTGCCTGACAGGAGGATGGAGCCAGGAGGGGGCTGGTCTCTGCTCCCAAGGAACAAGTGACAGGACAAGAGGCAGCAGGATTGAGCCCCTCTTTGACTGCAGAGCCCATCCCTGGGAGGAGCCACTCCATTATCTCCCATTCATCCCTCTTCCCGTAATCCTGCCACCGACTCTGGCACTCAGCAGCTGGCTCTGATGTCACCCGGCAGGATTTATTGCTGCTTCAGGTGCAGAGCAGCAGTCAGAGCAGATGAAATCTTATGCCAGGAGGAGTTTGTTCCCTGAGCAAATTGCTTGGAGAAGATCCGAGCAGACAGATGCAGCTCCCTCAGACACGCACACACTGGCTGCAGCTCTGCTGCCCTGCAGGGAGCCTGCTGCCTCAGCTCCCATCTCCCCGGGGCCCTGAAGGGCAGAAGGGGCTCTCGGAGCTATTTCTGCAAACCTCTCGAGTCTTTTAGCCTTTATGGATGTGGGGCAGGAATTGTACTGATGTGTGTAATACCTTCCTCGTGCCCCCCTGCCTGGCTGTCCCACCCTGGGTGAGCAGGATAATGTGCTGACACCGTTACCTTAACCTTTCTGTAGTTATGAGAGTGAAAAGTCCTGTGAAGGTGCTGAGCTGTCTAGGAAGTCATTCCCAGGTTGTGGGGTGGCCTGGCTGCCCTTGCAGCCTTCCTGGGTGCTTGGAGGCACTTGTCTGACCCTCCCTGCACCATGTTGGTGCCTTCATCTCCTCCTCGTGCAGTCTGGGCTGTGCCATGGGTCTGCTCCTGCCTTCCCTTGCACCCCGGGGTGGGTGGGAGCATCCCAAAGGATGCTCCTGGGGATGTTTGTGCCATCCCCACAGCCCTGGGGAAGGGATTTCCACCTACCTACAATGTCTTCAAACCACCGCCAGCTGCAAAGCCTTGAGCTGCCCCCATGCTCCTGGGGGTCCTTCCTTCCTGCCACCCTCTGCGTGGTCCCAAGGACCACAGAGCAGCATCCCCAGCTCTGGGCAGCCCTCCCAGAGCAGGGTGGCCCCTCTCCATGCAGGGCTGGGGCTGGGAGAAACGTCAAGCCCAGCCTTGCTCCTGCCTTGGCCAGTCACACCCCTGCAGGTCTGGACTGGGAGGCTGCCCCCTCCCAGCAGCACTGCCCATCCCAGAGGAATCCTTCTACCCTACCTGGGGGTAATTACCAGGCGTGTTGCAACTCCCCACAGTGGGCTCCTGCTCTGGCTGGTTCCTTGAGGCCTGTTTATGTGTTGTGGGAGCTGCCAAACCTGTTCAGGATGTTCTGCAGCCCCTGGGGCCTGTGGGGTCTGTGAAGTGGGGTTGTTGCAGAGGTTCACTTGCTTTCAATTTCCTTTTTGGTGTCTCTCCCTGCAGGAAAGAACCTCTACACGAACGAATACGTAGCTATCAAATTGGTGAGTCCCTCTGTGGTCGAGGTGGGATGTTCAGGCCAGCTGGGAAGGATTGTTGATGGTTCCCCGGGCTGTTGGAGCAGGGGGGGTTGGATCAGTGGTGGATGGGTGGCTGTGAGGAGCTGTGCTCGCTGCAGGAATTGAGGGCAGGAGAAGTAGTGCATGTCACTGCAGGTGGGGTGATCTGGACCTGGGGCTTTGCTTCTCCAGGCTTTGCTGTGGCCTGTGCCTGCACTCAGCTGGTGCCAGCAGCAGAGACCTTCAGGAGAGGATGATCCCCACTTATACATGTTCCCATTAATGTCTGCCCTAGCACCCGGATCTCTCTGGAGAGGGGGGTGGATCTGGCTCCTGTATGGACTGGTTTTCTCTCATCATCCCCTGGGGCTTCATCTCCCTTTTTATACCAGTTTTTCTCAACTCCAAATGCCCTTAGTCCAGCTGCTGCCAGCATGTGAAGGAGGTGTCTGACACCCTGACATCCTGCTCCCTACAACAGCCTTAACTGTCCTTCTCTCCTCCAAGGAACCCATAAAATCCCGGGCCCCCCAGCTGCACCTGGAGTACCGGTTCTACAAACAGCTCTGAAATGCAGGTATGGCGACTGGAAAGAGCCTTCCTTTAAATGTGACTCTGCCCCTTTGCTCCCTGGCCTGAGCACTTCCTGCCTGTCTGCTCAGCTGGGGGAGGCTGATTTTTACCTGGATTATTGAGTTCTTTCCCCCCCACCTCCCCTGTGGCAGGCAGGGGGATGTAGGGATGCAGATGGAGCTGCCTCCTTTGCCTTCCTGCCAAGAGCAGAGCCAGGCTGTGTGCAGCTGGGAGGGAGGGAGGGCAGTGCAGAGCCACCCCCCATCTGCAGCCCCCTGCCCCAACTCCAGCAATGGCATAGCTGTGACAGCATGGCCCTGTTACCACGCTGCTCAGCCCTGTTGCAAGCCCTGACAGCCCCTGCTGTGTCTCTTGCAGAAGGAATTCCTCAGGTTTACTACTTTGGCCCCTGTGGGAAGTACAATGCCATGGTGTTGGAGCTGCTAGGACCCAGCCTAGAAGATCTCTTTGATCTGTGTGATCGGACCTTCACGCTCAAGACTGTCCTGATGATCGCGATCCAGCTGGTGAGCGCAGCACCTCCACCTCACCCACAGCTCCACACAGCTCATCCCAGCCCGGCCACAGCCCGCCCTGGGCTGGTTGGGCAGTGAGGGGACCCCACACAGAAGGACATGGGAAGGACGGGTGAGCTAGTGCCCATCAGGCTGCAGAAGACCCTGTCTTCTGGCACATCCCAGACCACCTCGTCCATACGTCACCCTCTCCCTGCTGCAGGAGAGCTTTCCCTCACCCCCATGCAGCACAAATGAACATCTCTCACTGTGTGTCCAAGATGCAGCCAGACTAAGGTTGTCTCCCAGGGCTGGAGGGTCTGTTGTGCCCATCCTTTCAACCCAGGGTGACAAGAGCAGGGCCTCAACCTAAAAGAGGGTGCGGGGAGGTATGCGGGACACATGGTGCCTGTCTGCCATGATGCTGACGTCTCCTTCTGCCCCCAGATCACACGGATGGAGTATGTCCACACCAAAAGCCTGATCTACAGAGACGTCAAGCCAGAGAACTTCCTGGTGGGGCGGCCGGGCAGCAAGCGGCAGCACACCATCCACATCATCGATTTTGGCCTGGCCAAAGAGTATATTGACCCCGAGACCAAAAAACACATCCCCTACCGAGAGCACAAGAGCCTGACAGGGACAGCACGCTACATGAGCATCAACACCCACCTTGGGAAAGGTGTGTGTGGCCAGCCCTGCCTCTTGGGCAAAAGGGACAGGGAAGGGGAACTTGCTGGGGACAAACTGCTTCTCCTGCTCTTCGGGCTGGGATGTTGGCAGGGAGCTTGGGGTGCTGCAGGGTCTGGCAGGGACAGTGGCTGTACTGGGAACGTGCCAATGTTTCTTTTTTCCCCTCTATGCAGAACAAAGCCGCAGGGATGACCTGGAAGCATTAGGGCACATGTTTATGTACTTCCTCCGTGGGAGCCTTCCTTGGCAAGGCCTCAAGGTAACAGCCATCCCCTGCTGTCCCTGGGCTGCCCTGTGGGTCTGGCTCTGCCCTGGCATGGGCAGCATCAGGGAGTGGGGGGACGCTGTGGCCTCTGGGGTGTCGGAGAGTCGGCATCCTGCCAGATGCAGGGGTTGTTGCTCTGAGCTCTGTGCCAGGCCCTTGCTGTGCTGTGTCCCCCCCTCTGTGCCACACACCCCACACTCCCCCCGCATTTTGTGGGTATCCCAACTGCTCTCACAGTGGCTGTCCTGGAACTGCAGTCCCTGGTGTTTGTCCTCTGGACGTGCCCTGGGTGAGGGGATTCCCTGGGACCCCACCTGTGGTCTCATAGCACCCAGTGCGTGCCCCTCTCCGGGGACATGCCTGGCCTTCATGCTGACCTGCTGCTTGTCTCCACCAGGCTGACACGCTAAAGGAGAGGTATCAGAAGATCGGCGACACCAAAAGAGCCACTCCAGTGGAGGTGCTCTGTGAGAACTTCCCAGGTGAGGGCACTCTGCATGGCCTGGCCCCAGAGCACACACTGGCCTGGCACGTGGTCCCCCTGCCCCAACTGAGCCCGCTCTGTCCCCGCAGAGGAGATGGCCACGTACCTGCGCTACGTGCGGCGGTTGGATTTCTTTGAGAAGCCTGACTACGACTACCTGCGGAAGCTCTTCACAGACCTGTTCGAGAGGAACGGTTACGTGTTCGACTACGAATACGACTGGGCAGGGAAACCACTGGTGAGCGTGAGGGAGCGGGAGCAGGCACAGGGTGCTGGGCCCCAGGGTGCCCGGGGCGGTGGTGGGAGATCAGCATGGTCAGCAGTCAGCACTGCCAGGCACCGCTGTGCCCAAGAGATCAGCCCCACCAGCAGCCAGCGCCACGCTGGGGCTGCCATGCCCATGAGTTGAAGCTGTGCCACAGAAAGAGGAGCTAAGGGGAACCCAGCAGTTGAGTTGGTACCTTGCTTTCTGACATGAGCACCCTCTGTGGGCTCGCTGCAGCCCAGTACCAAGTGTGGAGCTGCTGGGGCTGGGGTCAGGCCCCGATTTGGGGATGTTGTGCATATTTGGCCAGGGGTTGTTCAGCTGAGGGGCACGGGGTGGCGGGTGGGCTGCTGTGCTGCGGCTGATGTTGTCCTTGTCCTGTCCC